GGCTCGGAGCCTGGAGCCTGTTTCCGATTCTGTGTCTCCCTCTCTCTCTGCCCCTCCCCCGTTCATGCTCTGTCTCTGTCTCAAAAATAAATAAATGTTAAAAAAAAATTTTTTTTTTAAAAAAACACCAAATATCTGTTTTTAGCGTCGGAATATTTGACCGTTTCATCCACCGTTTTGGCAGTTTTGAATGGTATTAGGGCTAAGGTAGTATCCTGAGCAGTTTTATAAGAAAGTCCGTTTTTCAAGAATTATTGCCATTTACTATTTTAAATGAAATGGAAGACCTTGAAAGTGCGCTCGACACTACCCCCACTTTTTATTTTAAGATAAGAAATGCTCTGTTCTCGATCTGAAACTGGTTGCCTAGCCAGTGATCAGTCTCCTACCTCAATGACCTTCCTTCAGTTCAGACTGTATATCCAGAGAAGAGAGACTTGGGATATAGATGTTGCTATTACAGGTGCCATTTGTATGTGTTATGTAAATACATTTTGTTTCTGTAACATTGATACCTATCACAGGATATAGAAGCAGCAGAAAAGTCTCTACAGACCCGGAGTCACCCAATTCCATCACCAGAGGTGGTTTCTCTTGAGGTGAGAATCTTAAAGATCAAAAGTAGAAGAAGAGACCCCATGCTGTTATGAGTACATTGTAAATTAACTGTGGTTCTATGTATGTATTTCCCAGACTTATTTATTCAGTAAGATAAACAAGATATGTCTGATTGATCCTTACATGTCCACAGTGCTGTGCTTTGTATGTAGGTGACTGATAAGTATCTTGATGTTAAGAAAAAAAAGTGTCACATGAAAATTTTCTTAAAATCCTCTATCTTTTCATCTAGAAACAACTACACTGTTAAACCATGAGAGACACTATGCACTAAATCTTAAGATGACAGCATGCCTAACCAAAGTGCTTTTCCTGTTGGCTAATGTTAGTAGTTTAGTCCCTTCACCAATTTTCAACCAATGCTATTTCAATGCATATTATCATGCAGTATAGTGTGGCTTTTGTCTGTTGTATTTTGCTCAGTTCAAGAACAGATTGGGAAGATTGTTGGCAAAAATAAATCCTACTTGGTATACGAATATATCTGTGATGAAAGGAAATTTACTCCATATAGAATAGTTTAATTTTATATTCCTAATGACCTTTTTCAAATACAGTTTGCTTGCTGCCTAACCAGAGATGTGAATAGACTCAAAATTAAAGGATGAGAATTTGCCCTTCAATTTTCTGTGTCATCTAGAGTAATAAGAAGAGGCAGTGATCAAGGATAGAAAGAACTCTGGTACAAAGTTGTGCCTTGGGCATGTCTTTTTCTTTGTTGAATTCTCCAATACCTTGCTCTGGCCTATATGGGGCCCACACAATAGGGGTTAATCCAGCCATGAATGGTGGAGAAACTCCCAACCACAGGCGATGGTTGGTATTTTTCTGAGCTAGTCTTGCACAGCAGGATGACCTCTATTTTAAGTGTTTCAGGCTACTTCTCAGACCACATGCATAGATAGATAGATATGTAGAACCGCTCACCATTTTCAACTTTCAGAACTCCTGTACCTTGTTAATGTGCAGAGTGGATCATTATGTATTCTTAATGCTATGGAATTCTTTGGTTGAATTTCCCAAAATGAGATTCATAGTGATAATCTCCTATAAAATGCCCTGCAAGGATAGAGAGTTTTGGTAGTTTACTTTCATTTGGCTTTGTTAGAGCAGTCATGCAAAAAACCATCAAAGCTTCTAGAAACTATATGGTGATCTTTGCATGAGCCTCTGTAGCTTACAGACTTGCTATAGGCAGGCCATTAATACAGTATCTCAATTTCTAAGCCATTTAATGAAAAGTGGTTACATTATATTATTTTTTCTCAATATAAAAAAAAATTGGGAAGAAATTATAATTTACCATAACAAGTGCTCTTCTAAAAGGTATAATGGATGCATATTTTAAATGTTTCTCCCCTTACAATTAAGGAGTCCGTTCACCTGAATCCTGTACTGGTTACATTTCAGTTCCTGAGCTCATCGCAGGTCCAATCTTTTTAGGCCAACTATAAATCAGTTGTTCATGTTTAATCATTTCATTGTAGTAACTTCAGTACACGTAATCATTTGGTAGGAGATTTGGAACAGTAACCGAAAACATTTAATGATCGTAGCCATAAATGATTCCACTGGTAATAATCACAAGGTTGGCCACAAGAGGGCGTGTAAAATCACAATAAAATCCTAAAACCTGTAATTCTGCCAGGCTCTGGTTTTACTGAGAAATTTGAAAATTAACACTAGTAAGTAGCCAGATTTCTTTCTAAAATTAACATAAAATATTCTGTAGAGGAAGTGCATTCTACGTCTATGTGTGCATGTGTGTGTGTGTACACGCATACACACACTTCAGTGAATAAACATTTAGACTATTATGAAGAGCCAAGTTCAATTGCTTGATATGCTTTTTTACTTTTGGATGTTGTTTTTTTTTTTTTTTTTTTTTTTTTTTTTTTTTTTTTTTTTTTTTTTTTTTTTTCCAGACTCTTTACTGGGCATCAGTAGAAGAATATATTCCCAAGTGGGAACAGTTTCTTTTAGGAAGAGCACCATATCCGATCGGTGTTGAAAATGAAAATGAAGCAGAAAAATACCACTCAAAATGAGGCGCAGTGATAACTCCTTCACATGCTCTTTCAAAAGAACCTGTTTAGTACAGCTGAATATTAAAGAATATGCAGATCGTTTCAGGAACTTTAGGAATCGGGTATGTTCCCAGTGTCCCATTACCTTCTCAATGACAGTCAGGATCTGACAATCTGCTGAGTCTCAGGTTGTCACTTTGAGACCTACTAGTAGTTCCGAGTCAAGAATTTGCCTTCTGCCAAATCCATGGAAGTGTTAGTGTTAAAAGCTCATACTGAAAGGTGGACTGTTTATTAAACAAGTTGCTAAATAAGTGTGTGTGTCTCGTTTTAAGAAAAAAAAAAATCATTTACAGCCATTCTCATCTAAACAGTAAATACTGGCTGTTCTGATGCTACATTTTCTAGAATCATTTTGGTTATTTTATTACGGGGATCATGTTCAGCACAGGATCAAAGTGGGTGTTGGTCCATTATTACAGTTTCTTCTAACAAGTAGAAAAAATAGAGACACTTAAGCTGCTTCAATATAATATTTATTAGAGAATGGATTTATAGGATTTTGTCCTTCATAGATAATCAAACCTCTGAAAGTTCTGGGGGAAAGAACTAAACCATCAAGCATTTGGTAAGTAGCCAGTTTCAGGAAGGCTCAGACTTGGTTCTGAAAAAGGTCCCCTGTTAGAGCTGAGAATGGTTATTGGATTTTGACTTGGTTATTTAAGGACTGCCAACCCCGTGAATGTCAATAACTCCTCTCATCTTCTCATCTTTAAACTTGCCCTTCCCTCTCCCTTCTATTTTCATTATTTCTGAAACTGTCAGAAAGCTTTGAGGTTCCTCAGTCTTCCACTGCTTGAACACTCAAAAAAATTTGTTTTTCTAATTATAGAGGCAGCTCCTGCTAGCAAGGGGAGTCTATACGTTCATTGCCATTCAAGCATTTAAATTTCAAACTGGTTTGTGTTTTTAAAAGAAAATAGGATAAGCTAAAAAAAAAAAAAAAAAAAAAAAAAAAAAAAACAACACTATATTGAAACGTCCATTGTGCTGATAAGTTCCTTTAAACTACCATCTTGGAAATATCCTGTTGAGTGGGTGGATGGTGTGGGTAACAATAACGTTGTTTTCATAATATGCGCTGGCAGATTAACATACTTCTCTACAGTGTTAACAGTTGTAATTAAGGAATAAACAGCACAGAGTGTCAGTCCGATGACAATTTCATCTATAGTGTCACAATACAAAATGTCACAAAATATTAGAACTGTTCTATAACTATAAAAAGTACCCGCTTAAAAGCTGAAAGCCTTTTTAAAAAAGGAAGACAGAGAAAGGAAGAAAAAAGAAAACTGGCATAGAGACCAGAACAATTTATACCTTCTCAAGAATGTTCTGACATGAAAATAAATTGATAATTTTTTTTTTTCCTGTTACATCACAGTTTGGTTTCTAGCCATCCAGTTGATTTAGCAGGAGAATGCATGGCTTTTTAGCAGCTTTGAATTGGTAAACAGATTTAGATGTAGTAGAAAGGAACATGAGGAAGTTTTTTTTTTTTTTTTTTTAACATCCAATCTTTCCCAGCATATGCACATAAGAAGGTGAATGAAGCGATGTGAAACTTATATCTCTTTAGTCAAGTGAAAAAAAAAGGCTAAACATTTGTTGAGATAGTAAAATATTGTGTCAAGCAAGTAGGCACATTCCAAAATTAAACAGTGGTTGATACGTTAACATCCTCAAATATTTGAGTGCACACTTCCTTTGAGTTCTGCAAATTAAATCACCAGTAGGTTCGATTAAAATACAAAACGAATAGCAATTTAACCATGTCAGAAAAGGTTGTTTTTTTCCTCCCCTAAGTTGACTGACTTGCTAAATAGTTTCTAAAAAGAGCATATATTTAATATACCCTGGGTTACCACTTAGGGAAGCGGGATGGATGTCATTTCTAGGCTTCAGCTGTATCATTTGCCCTGTTACTAGAGAATACCTCAAAAACTCCCAGAGATGACTTTATTCCTGGCCCCCACAGAACTCCCTCCCCTCCTTGTAGACTGTAACAGATTGCACCACATGGTGTATGTTTCAAAAAATATATATCCATAGGGACCTAGATACCCCATTAAAGGGCTTTATATTCCTCATGGCAAATTAGCTCTACATAGGAATTTCCAAGTACCGTTTTCTGTAAGGAGGGAAGAAATACCGTATCTAACGTGTATTTTGTATTTGCTATCACTAGGGATCAGACAAGGAAACGGGTCATCTACTCATACTCCCCCTTCCCCCTACCACTGCTATGATTCAGCGTCCTTCCCGTTCACTCCATCTCATACCTACTATTCATGAAAAACACGAATTCGGTATTTGGGGGTTTGGATTTTGGTTTTTGTCTGTTTACAATAATGGGATTTTCAAAATAAAGGTCACTTCAAGATTTTCTTCGCACAGCCTTGCTTGGATTGTTGCAAACACAGAGGTGCATAAATACGCAAACTCATTTTATGCTGGAAGACTTTTAGTAGATGAATTTATTAAACTATAAAATACTAAGGTCCGAAAGAGCTGCAGTTTTTCTCCACACTTGGTAAAATGAACTTGACTAAGGAAAAGCCCAACACTCTAGAAACCAGACATCTGGTCTTTCCCAGGAGGGGGGGCGGGGGGCAGCAGGAGCAGTGCCAATGAAAGGGAGGTCAAATGGACAGTTTTCCCTGTGCGTTACGTCCAAGGTGCTTTCACATGTCAGCGGAAGACTTGAAGGACTATAATAATCTAACTCTTTTCACAATTTGGTCTGGTCTGTTCCTTTTCCATCAAAAAAAAAAAAAAAATACAATGGATATGTGGACATACTTATTTTTGAACCAGAATTAAAGTGAGTTGGTGATTTTCTCACTTCTACAATAACTGGAGACAGGCCAGGGGGCGGGGAGTCTATGAAAAGCCAGGGTTTGCAATCACAAGAGTAAGGTAGGAAGCTTTAAACCCCGTCAGGTAGGTTTTAGAGTATAAAATTAAATGCACAAGACCACGAATTTGGCTTATCCACAAAATGTATTCTTTTCCTTCCTTATTCTGTTAGTCTTTATTAAATAAACAAAGGTGAATTGGTTTAAAGTCTTTTTTTTTAAAAAAATAAAGTTTTAAATCTAGAGTTACCACCCTCCCCGTTTCAAGAATTGTCCAAACATTGTAGCTACATGGCTTAAAAAAACTCTCCATTTTAACAGTCTAGTTGACCTCTTCTACTTTGATTAAGATGCTAAGATGCCTTTTTTTAAGTTTCTGACTAAAAATTTACTCATCAGAGAAGGTACGAAGTACATAGTGAGTTCCAACAGAGGAAGGAAGGAAGGAAAAGAGGGAAGGAGGGAAGGAGGGAGGGAGAGAGAGAGATCAATCTGTTGAAAATACAGAGAAGGCAAAGAGAAATTACTTTGAGAAAGCTTTAAGTTGAAGCAAGAAGTACGCCCACTTCTTGTGTTTTATTTGTTTATCTTATAATTTAGAAGTTAATTTGTCTACATAGGAAATTTAATTCCCTATGGCTACTACAAGAACATTTAGAGTTTTCTGGGACAAACACAGAGACGTGTCAAACTTCAGCAATTAAGGAGAGGATTGATATGTGGATTTGACGGCTGGCATTGTGATCTCCTTTTCTAACTGGAACTGAGATTATATCCTTACTAAAATCCAAGACAAGGAAAATGACTCAAACAAAGAGGCAAAAAAAAACACTTCCGGACATCATCTTACCTCTCAGAGTCGAGTTTCCTTGCCTACAAGAGAAAAAGGACCGGGTTCCCTACCTTCACAGTTAATGTTTCAGAGTTCCTGCCATTTTAAAAACTCTAACTGGTGTCTCAAAGAGAGACTGAGACTCGGCTAGAGCAGTATCTAGATTGACTAGTACAAATCAATAAATACTGGCATTAAGAGCAAACAATGGAGTGTTCTTATTTTAGAAAGATGATTTAGTTTGTATTTTTTTAATTTTTATTACTTTTTTAATGTTTTTATTTTTGAGAGAGCGAGAGTGTGCACACTGACACACACACACACACACACACACACACACACACACACACACACGTGGGGGAGGGGCAGAGAGAAGGGGAGACACAGAATCCGAAGCAGGCGCCAGGCTCCGCGCTGTCAACACAGAGCCCAACACAGGGCTCGAACCCTCAAGATCATGACCTGAGCCAAAGTCAGACGCTTAACCAACTGAGCCACCCAGGCACCCCTGTTTCTGTATTTTTGATGACAGCTGGATCATTTAACCTCCACTGTTAGAAAAACTAAGGGGCCCCTGGGTGGCTCAGTTGGTTAAGCGTCCGACTTCAGCTCAAGTCATGATCTCATGGTTTGTGGACCCAAGCCCAAAAATAAATAAATGTTAAAAAAAATTTTTTTTAACTAAATACATAATTTGACCTTCCCCCCCCCCCCAATAAGTCTGGGTTATCAATGTATGAGTGTCTCTGATGTTTTACATGTTACCGCTTTGGGGACAATTCAGTCAAATTAGAGACGGACAAAATTCCAAGTGTATCTTTGTCTAATCCATCTCTATCTTCTTTCCTTTCCCAATGCAACATAATCATTTTTCATGTCTTATTCTCCATTTATAAGATCTATAAAATAGACATTTTGTATTGGACGCTCTTCCTCAGGAAAACCATTAATACTAAGATGTTCAAAAGAAGCTAAATACAGAGCCTTTGAAAATGATACACAGGAAAACAAAGCTGGGTAACATTTAAGCATCATTCATTCATTCCAACAGATCTTTCTGACTGCCCATCGTGTAGCAGGCACAGCTCTAAGCACCAAAAATACAGAACACAAAACTGCCCTCTAAATCCATGTCCTTAAATAATTTACATTCTGGAGGGGCACTGGGTGAAGAGGATTGAAGGTAGTGATTAAAAAACACAAACAGGTACCTGGCTGACTCAGTTGGTGGAGTTTGCTACTCTTGATTCCAGGGTCATGAGTTCAGGCCC